ATCATAATTTGTTAACGAGACAATAAATAATATTGCACAAAAATCTAATTATTATAACACTGAATCATCACTCAATCGAGTTGAAACATGACCAACAAAATCTGTCCATTTCACCATCACCAAGAAGCGTAATTCCTGTCTTGCTATAAGAACTAAGAAGTATTCAAATTCAACAAAATGAAACATTGAAATTTACAATTTCAGAAAGATTTTTCAAATTACAATTATATAAAATACCAAGCAAATTAATTGAAATTAATTAATTGAATTAAAAGTTCAAGTACAAATACATAATAAAATTTACAGAGTTATAAGCAAGAAACTACTTAATGAAGCTTTTGAAAAGCACAGCAATACCTCGCATAGTGCGTGTATTTGATTCCGCCAATATCCTCTATATGTTTGTCCGTACTAATCGAGGATTTTAAAACGCCACAAAAAGAAACTTGACTGTGAAATTATCAAAACCAAACTATAATGAATCGATGTAATTTATAGAATAATATTATTCTTAGTGAAGTTCTTGGAAATTAATTTGTAGCTAATAAAAGTGTCATAATTCTAACGAATTTTGATACGCTAAATTTTTGAATAAATAAATGTAATTTTTTGAAAAAAATCTCAAAACACGTACATAAATTATAATAAAATTGAGGTTATAAACAAATTAATTATTCGAATTAATTAATAGAATAATTAATTAATAAGTTAATCAAACAAAATGTATGGTTTTCAAATTATTGTGCTTTTTAATGAAAAGTCAACGTTCTAAATTAATAGACCGAAAGCTGAAGGTAATATTTGTTATAAAAAATATAGAGAGAATGTTTTTTAAAAAGTGATATAAAAGTAATAAATTATGATGTGTAGTAATAACACAAGGAATTGTATGATCGCATGAAATTAATATTGAAAACAATTTCTCCTTATTAATATAATATGACATTGAACTACAAAATTACATATTTTAACATTCGTTAGAAAGCACAAGTGAAGGAAACTATTTGAATATTAAATTTAAAAAACAATATAAACATGTATTGTTAAATGAATAATCTGAATCTATTATGACTTTTTACTATGAACAGCAATACCCTGCATAGTCCTGATTCAATCAGTCCGGATTAATCAAAATTGGATAATTTCTAAAAAAATAGTCTCAATTTGAAAGTTTTAAAAGTCCTTGATTAATACTGTTTCAAATAGTCCGGAAGCAATTACAAAAATACTTGAATAAATTTTGAAAATATTTCTACCAGCAACTAAATAATCTGTCTACCCACATATTAACATATTCCTTTTTTTAAATTGCAAATGTATTCTTTTGAATATCGCGAATCTCATAAAAATGCAGAACGTCGTTTCATCGAAAGTGTACATTTTTTTTTCTTGTAGTATTTCGTTTAGTAAAGTAATGACTGGAAATGACGATGAGAGTCGCAAAAGAAAGTGATATACAAAAATTTCAATATGTTTTCAAGACAATGGAACAAAACAATGCGGTATGACGAAATCGCCGGGATTTCGCACGGTGAAAACGAAATATTAAAGTCTCTGCACCGAAAAAACAAAACGAAACGAAAGGTAAAATGCTACAAAAGTAATAGAAAACTTATGGAATTTTATACGTAGACTTCCACAGCGTCTAATTGCAAGTGGAGTATATTTTAAAATAATAACAATGGTGAGGTCTTACTTATTCAAGGTTTCAGAATTCGAATTTGCATGTTTTCTCTATTTGCGTGAACACCGAGCACGGCTAATTTCACTTTTAAAAACGCTCTAATTAACAAATTATAAAAATTAAAAGTTATTATATTGTTGTGATTATGTAAACGCGAGCACAGTATTTACATTTTAGTTAAAGCATATTTTATATTCTGTTTTGAAGAAAATTTAGTAATTATTAATAGTTATCAAAATTCCCATACAGTTCAGTAATTAAGAGTCAATGATTTTTAAATTTAATTTTTTATTGAAATCTCTTTATGGTATTTCCAGATATAATTTATTAACTAATAAAACTTATAGTACAAAGTTAATTTTCATTGGTCGTTAAACTTAAACTTTTCGACTTTTCAAACTTTTTAATAATATCTATATTAATATGATTGTTATTTATACCTTATTATAACAATACTTCAAATTGCGTGGCTTCGATTAGTGGGGTTTCACTAAAGTCTGATGTACATTATAAAGAATTGAAGTGAACAAAACAAAAAGAAATATTTTTTTCACCCAAAATCAAGTCTTCCTTTTGTAGGTTTAAAGTCTTCGATTATTCCGGTTTCAATAAACCTCGAATTGTGTGCCTCGAATTACTGCGGTTTCACTATAGTCTGATGAAAATTTAGTTTATTTATAAATGTTCATTAGACTATTGAACAAAATAAAAATAAATAATCTTTTTTTTTCACCTAAAATCAAGTCATTTTTGTATGGTTTCAGTGATCTTTTTCACCCAAAATCAAGTATTTTTTGTGGGTTTTAAAGTCCTCGATTAGTCCGGTTTCAATAATCTTTTTTCATTTTATTAAAGCAATACCTGGAAATATGTGACTTCGATTAGTCTTGTTTCACTATAGTCTGATGAAAACTAAATTTGAATTAAACAAAATAAAAATAATATATAATCATTTTTCATCCAAAATCAAGTCTTTTTTGTGTGGTTTTAAAAAGTAATTAATTGTTTTTCACACAAAATCAAGTCTTTTTTGTGTGCTTTTAAAGTCCTCGATTAGTCCGGTTTCATAATTGCTTTTTTCACCCAAAATCAAGTCATTTTTGTGTAATTTTCAAGTCCTCAACTAATCCGGTTACAATAATCTTTCTTTCACTCAAAATCAAGTATTTTTTGAGCAGTTTTAAAGTCTTCGATTAGTCCGGTTTCAATATTGACGGAACCGATTACCCGTACTAAGCTGTATTTGTATAAATAGTTATTTTTTTTAATTAAACTTTGCTTTGCACATTTTTTCATTGAAAATGAATATTTCCTTAATAAAATATGTATAAAAAGAACGTTTTATTGTATGTAAATAAAATGTAATAACATTAACATTTTATTAGATTAATTAGTTTTTTTCTCTCTTAATGATTAAAAGACTTTCTATAGTTTTAAAGTATTACAAATATAGTGTTTACTCAAAGCAGTCGGGCGAGACAAAGTGTGTTCGATAATGATAATGATAGCATCCACAAAAGGAGAATGCATTAAACAGTAATGGTAATGCCTTCAAACATCCAATACATGTTGTGTTGTCGAACCGTCGATTTACGACACACGGCCTTTTCAATAAGGTTTCACTTAATCTCGGAATCCCGATGTTCGAGTCGATTAATTAGAAAACAATGCGTTAATTTTAAATGTAAGAACCAATTAACAAACATCGCGAACGAAAAGAAAGTGGATAGTAGGATTCCGTGCACAATTATTTTTCCGCTGCATTGTTTGCTATAATAATTAGGCGAGAGTTCGCGCATCTAACCGCATCGTCATTATTAAAATACTAATTATTATATTTTCACTTAACAATGAACGAACGCGTTTAGTTCGTGCGCCTCCTTTTTTGGACACTTCTTCGTATTTTTCTACTGTTTCAATCGTGCCTTTGCACTCAGAACCGATTGCCAATGTTAATTACAAACGGAGCGGTAATTAGATGTTGCGCAATCTCTAATTACCGGCATCGAGCTGTTCCTCATTCCGATTTATTATGTAAATGTAATTTACAATAAAAGATTTTCAATGCTTATTACAATGAAGTTATACTTATCAATTTCCAAACATTAAACTCTAAAAATAATTAAGTAAAGTTATCATATAACACATTAAAATGGCACTATAATAATTATAGAAATACCTCGCATAGTCCAGATAATTGGACTGTTTGAAACCGGATTAAACGTGAACTAAATAAAACCGCACAAAATAAGACTTGATTGTATAGAGAAAGAAAAAAGATCATTTTGCTCAATTAAAATTTAGTTTGTTTTGAAATTTTTAATATCCCGGACTTTTTGAAACCGGATTAAACGAGAACTAAATAAAATCGCACAAAATAAAACATGACTTTATAAAGAAAGAAAAAAGATCATTTTGCTGAATTAAAATTTAGTTTGTTTTGAAATTTTTAATATCCCGGACTGTTTGAGACGGGATTAAACGTGAACTTTAAAATCGCACAAAATGAGACTTGACTTTATAAATAAAGAAAACAAATCATTTATGTGAAAAAACAAATTAGTGAACTATATTTTTTTTTTAAATTTATTTTTATTTTTCTCAATTGAAATTTAGTTCGTTTTGAAATTTTTAAATTGCACTGTAGTGAATCTGGACTGATCTAAACCGGACTATGCGAGGTATTGCTGTACTTTCAAATTTATTTTTTTTAGAATGAAATCTTATATTTCTTATTTAGATTACTTAATACTAAAACGCGTTTTTATAATATAATTTAAAATAAACTAATTAATTACAAACTTAATGATATTAATTGGATTATAATAACATACTAATTAATTGTTTCTTTGATACATTGAATTTACTTAATCAAACAGTTTTTTTATATAATAGAATAAAAAATGTTAAAAATAATTTTGTGTAATAAAATTTAAATTAGTTATTTTCTATAATTTTTAAAAGTTACCTACAATTTATTTTTTCTACAAATAATAATTTTTTATATACAAATTATTGCAACATCTTTAAAAATTAAATAAATAGAAAAATAATTCTGGCTTATGAAATATGTAAGAATTATTGTACGATCTTTTTTTTCTTCATTTTATTAAGAACTTTTCTAAATAAAATTATGAAATGTGGAGTGTTTACAAGAACCGAGTTTTAAATTTTTTATAGATTATTTTGATTTCTGTTACATTTTTTCTGTTTCTTTTTGAAAACTGTTGGTTCTCACCAATCAAAATTTTCAAATTAATTGTAAATAAATTTTGTAAATTTATCTGAAATTTTGAATAAAAAAAAAATAACTTACCAATAAAAATTAGATAACAAAAATAAACTATGAACAAACGAAATAATTTGTAACGAAATTTCACAAACGCACTTCGCAATAACAATAACAAAACAAACAAAAAGTAAAACAAGTCCTCGTTAATAATAAAAATGTTTCCTCGTTTCTTTTGTTCTTCTGTGCTCGGTGCACTAGTAAGAAGAGAAGCTCCGATCGCCGGTCTCCTGCGCAACTTGTAGTTTCTGATAAAATGTACGTCGATTCATTAACGCATGGTGGAAGTTGCAAAAGAAGCTCTTTGGCAAGTCTTCTTGGTGCATCTGCTTCCAGCAGGTGAGCGAACGTAACGTTACAGCAAACATCGCGCAGAGTACAGTTCGGTTACGGGACTCCTTCTATTGGAGCGGGGTCACACATACACTCACACCATTCACGAAAACAAAACGACATGCAAATCGGCGGAGGGAGGAAGGAAGGAACAACGAAAAGACAATACGAAACCATTTCCGAAAATGGATTTATAATGTGTATAGCGTCGGATGCAAAGAAAATAGAAAGATATAAGTAAAAACCAGAGGCATTAAGACTTTGGTATGTGAACGTGAAGAAGCAGTTATTCCAATTTTGTTAAATTATTAAATAAAATTTACTGTAAACAAAGTCAAGAACTGTATTATATAATATTACATCAATTTTGTGACAGTAAACAATTTTGGACTTCTTAAAAATTTTATAATATTAAAAAAAATATGAAGTTGTGAAAAAAAATGTTAAAAATGTAATGAATTTATTGTATTATTATCTTTAGCTCTATTTTCTAAATGCATATACTTCAAATGAAAGAAGTGCAAAATTTAAGACAGAACTGTGTATACTCTATATCAGCGTTTCTCAACATTTGGATACAATATTGGGACGCGTTAAATATTTATTGGATCACAAAATGATCACGTTATGTCATCAACAATTATTAAAAACTATTGGGTCACAGTACAACTACAAACATAACAGCTGGGTTCAAAATGACAACTGTCACTTTATGCGCTTTGACGTAAAAAGTTTATGTTATAAACTATTGGATCGCAGTCACACTATCAAAAAATGTATATTATAGGTAATTGGTTCGTAGTACAAGAGCCAAATATGTTAGGTTTCAGCTAAAAGGAAATAATCAGATATAACAGACTAAATCTATGCTTTTTTTCTATCCTTTATTTCTTATTCACAAGCTGCCTATTTAAACAATAAGTAGAAAGTATTTTGGCCATAAGATAAAAAAACAGAAAAACAATAATTTCCCATGGAAACCTTCCAATAAACAAACTCAAATTTAACTAAAAATTAATGTGATAATAATTAAAATTATTTTTTACGACACTACATAATAACTTAAAAGATATTCACTGTAATGCACAAATAACTACGCGTTTTAGTGTTAAAATTTTAACTTTTTTGTTTTTATCAATCATTAAAAATGCTAAGATTATTGTTGTGGAATTAGACATTGCTTTCAGAGTAATTAGATTAATTTCAATTAAAATAGTCTTTACTAGTTAATATCATGAAATTGTATAACTGTTTTCTAACGACGGTACATCGCGACAGATTTTACTAATTAACAGAAATATGTAAGCATTACATTATTAAGTCCCGTACATAGATTTTACTTGAACGACAAGTGAATACTTACTGTATAGCATCTGCCGTAATATTTAGCATAATTAGCCTCTGGTGCAACATGATTTTACATTTTCCTAGGCAATTAATACCACTTATAGAAGATCTAAAGATTTGTGCAAACAAAAAATCTGTTCTATAACTGTTAAATATCAGTAATAATAAGTTTTTCTTGATCAATTCCGTATTACAAAAATATGACCAATCATCAGTAGCGGATTAAGGATAGTCGGAGCCCACAAATATACTAAAAACAAACATCTTCTTAAAATACTATAGGAAAATGTCTTAATTCGTGATCTCGTGGGGCCACTAGGCACGTGCCTCATTGGCTTAATGGACAATCCGCCAATGCTACTAATTGTCAATTATGTTATATGAATTAAAATTCGTAGGATAAAACCGACTGAGCGGCGCTGTAATAATAATTAGAACCCATTTCACGAACTCAACAATAGACTATAGTTAGAATATGGCAGTTACTTTACAAAATTAGATATTGCGGATATTCATTACGTTTGCATTTGTAATAAATTAACGGAGAATAGATAATAACATGTTATCTATTTTTATAATAATTTATATAAAAGATATAACATTTAAAGTCTAAACATTAAAAATATTTCAAAAGTATTAACTTCAAAACAATTTTCTAAAATAAATTAAGCTTACGAATATATTTTTCTCCATGACGGGAAAAGTAACTGCAGAAGTCATTTAAAAGATATCTTAAAAACACATTTATGCTATTTGAAACAATTCATTCCCGCTCTGTGGATTATATTTAGTAAAACAGCTTTGTTCTTACTATTCACCGTATTTTGACGAATCTCACGGTTTTATGGAAATTGCAAATTAAGATAAACTATGAGTAAGACAAGATCAAAGAAGAGCGTGTCTAAATGTTATTTATATTCCCATAATAATATAATATTTATTGAAACAGTTTCGTAGGTTAATAAAATCAGAAAATGGGAAACATCAATTTTGAACATGCCGAAATGTTTTGTCTCAGTGATGGAATTCCGGACACATTGCGTACGTTTTGTGTCGTTTTCCAGTCTCAATAGTTGGGAATATAATTAAATTATTAGTAATTCTTACCTTAACATTCTTACTGAGACTAATTCTAATTACATATTCTACTTACGTAGTAAATTATTATTATCGTGGAGTAAGAGTTGCGATTAGGACAAGGTCTTCATTTAAACTTGATGATTAAGGCAATTCAGCCTGGCTGGTTTTCTTTATTCTGCGCCCTGCTCAAAACCCTTACTTTTATTTTGTATAAAAAACTATATCTATTTGGATTCTTCGTTAGAAAATTCTTATATGAAATTTAATTCGGAGTATTCAAAAAGGTATCGATGGGATATTCCTTAGTACTTATAATTTTTTTATATAAAATAACGTTTCGACTAAGATAATTGTGGAAGTCTCGTATACATAGTTTGTTTATATACTCTAATAATAATAATGATTAGACACAATAAAGATTTATGAAATTATTTTTAATACTCTTATACCTCAACTAACAAATAAGATTTCGTTCCACGAAATTACTACTTCTTTTAAGAAACTTCATTTTTAGAGGCCAAAACGATCGTTCGTGAACAAAATGTCTTTTTTTTAACAAAGAAATAACTGCCAAGTTATATCACATTTTAAAATATGTGTTATAACATTTCTTCGTAAATTAGCTTCAACTTTGATTATTAACATTTTGTCAGCAGAAACTTTTTTAATTTCCTCTTCGTTTTTAACAAGGTGTCGTGTCTCAGAGATGGAAAATCTTCTGTTGTTTGATGTTGAGTTTATACGGGACGGGATTTGTGATTTGTAGGACTTCATTCATATGTATTGAGTAAGCGTTTCTCATGCGATTCTTTATCATTCTCCAAGTCCGGTCGCTGCTTTCGATGAAATTTGTCCATTCTGCGTCTGGTGCTGATTACTTGTATTAATTCACATATAAAAAAGTATTATAATAAGATCATTACTCCCGTTGGTTGGACACAATAAAGATTTGCTAAATATAAATCTAAAACATCGTTATCGATATCTTCTAAAACCATTGATTTCTTGGATGTTTTGTGCTTCTTCTAGTATAACTTCTGTCCATATCTTGGGCCAAAGTCTTTCTTTGTGAGTTCTTTCTAAGAACTATCCATATTGTCAAATTCGTTTTAACTGTCATTTCTTCTAGTTTAATTAAATTCAATTAAATATTTAAATTGCAGACTTCGTTATCAAAGGCAACTTTAATTAATATCTTTTAATTTAAATTTTTAATCGTAGTAGTAGTAATAGTAATCTTATTTTGTTTAAATAAAATAAATGTAATACAATTATTTTTATATTGAAAACATTATATAATGTATAAAATGTAAATAAAGTTATTACAATATGTCACAAAATTATATATAGATTATTTTTATAATCAAATCAACTGAAAATACAAATTTAAAAATTTAAAAAAAAAACAGGAATGTTCAAACTCTATTATATTGATATTTCACCAGAAATATTACTGACATTTTACATTATAAAATTTTTCTTTCAGCACTTTACATTATTTATTTCCTTATAATAAACGTATATTGCAATTCAATTACAACAATGATATGTCGTGTATAGAGAGTATAAAATGTCTTGTTAAATACAAATATACCGTAAAATCTTGTGTATAATATATTTTTCACATTTTTGTCCGCAATTAAACTCAAGATTTTACGATAATCTTAACATAAAAATGCAAATAATCTTAAATCGATAAAACTAATAGTGTGCAAAAAAAAATCTTATAGAAATATTTCATTCTTCTGTGGATGTCAGTCGCTCGCCGGCCTGTAATTCGCGGAATTTATTAGTGTAGTACATCAAGAGTAGTGCACTTTTTGCTGTTATGAAAGACCATATTATTGCTGTAAATTTGATCATCTCAACTGAAACAGAATGTACGTGAAATTATGTTCAATATTTGTGTAATTATCATCTTACATTTATTTTCTAGAAACAAGTAAACAGTAAAGTAGACTAAAGTTACGCATCCCGACGTGAATAACCAGAAGCCCAGCCAGCACAGCTGTTTTAACTCTCGAGCTGCATACCACGTTTGTAATCCTCCATTTCCTTCCAATATTAGTAAATGCACAGTTGCGAAACTTATGATAGCTGAAATATATAAAAAAAATATTATTAAATATCTTCACAGCATCTTTAAATTAATATAAAAAAAAATATATATACAGTGGAACCTCGCTTAACGAGTACCTCGCATAACGAGCATTTCTCTTAAAGAGCAAAATAAATTATAAGAAAAATGTCTCGCTTAACGAGCGACGTTTCGCATAACGAGTTATGATGAGAAGAGAAGTCACGGATTGCGCGCCCGCTACCTCATTTTTAAAACTTGTGTACACATATTATGTGCATTTTTGAAAATGTTTCACTATACAAGTAAAAATACGAAAATTTTGGAACGGATTAAACACGTTAAACGAGGTTCCACTGTATATAACATCTTCATTCTATTTGCTACTCTCTTTTTTAACAAAATTACTATTTTTAGTACCAAGTTTGTTTCTGGATTTAATTATTCGCATACGAATTGCCTTAGCAACATAATTATTCCACTGACGTGACATATTGACCTATTTTGAACTTTAAACTTAAAGAAATAAATTACTTTTTTCCAACTTTCCTTGTGAATTAGTTAAATTTAAACTGATTACATTTAACGTAATTGAGATCTATGAAAATTTTATAACAATTTAAATACATGCAATTTGCACAAGTCGTCTCGTTTAAAGAATTTTAGTTCTCAGCTTATAAATTCCAGAAAATGTATGAATTCGAATACCTGTATTTAAATAAATATTCTTACATTTTATACAAAAAAAAAACAACTTTTGAATTTTTTTTATAAAAATTATAAATTAAGAATTTTTTTTCAAAGCGTAAAACTACATTTCTCGTTAAAACATATTTTTCTAATGCAGTTTAAAACCAGTTTGTTTGCATATTTTAAAATCTATAAATAATAAATATATGCCTATATAAAACAAGTTTAAAATTGTATACACAATTAAAGTTAATCAGAGCTTGGTAGATTTAATTCATGATTCTACAAATCCTCCCAATTGAAAAAGAGACAAAACTGAAATAATTCCGACCAGTCGAATTATAATCCTTGAACCATATGTGAATTTAATTTGGAAAACAGGAAGTGGTGACAAATCGAGTGCAAGCTTTACGTTTCATTGCAAAAAAACAAAGTTATTCTGAAAACGTCAGTAAAAATTAAAGGTGTAAAAACGAGAAACATGACCTTAATAGTAATAAACAATTAAATAAATTGTTACGCAATCTTGTTTTTTTTGTATCTAAAAGTTGAAATATTATGGATAATAAATGTTATTTATAATATAACAAAAATATTTTATAGTCAATCACCTAACAAGATTTACTTATGACAAAGTACACTTTTAATAATAAAAGACTTTATTGTTCAATTAACAACAGGAGAAATTGTTTTTAAACATATTGTAATAGGAAAGTTTATATTAAAGATGTTATAGTTATTCCAAAAATATTCATTTTAGTACATTTATAACTATAATTATAAGTTCTGGCGTTGAAACCTAAAAATAATAATTCATAATTTATATTAAAAATTAATAGAAATCTGAATTATTTGACACTTTTAGAAAAAAATACTAAGAGCATTTTTATTTTGATAAACTATATGTTTATATGTGCAATATATTTCAATTATGATTACATTTTCAATTTTGTTATTTAATGTAAAAGGCAATTTGTAAAGATGGATACGCCACGGGTTAAGTAGCGGGTCAAGTGTAAAATTATCATGAGTCCAGGTTTTTCCAGAAATGTGCATTTTTTGTATCTTTATATTAGTATCTTTGTATCTTTTTATTATAAAATATAATCCTTATTTTTCCTGTGTATTTTACTGTCATTGTCTTATATTTTGAAAATTGTTGTCCTAGTTTTCCGTATTGAAACATACTAGTCAAGTGTCAAATATGACAAGTTTGTGTAAGCGCAAGTAAAGTACTTGACAATTAATGACATTTACTTGTACAAGTTGTCAAATTTTTCTACTTAACAGATTGATTAAAGTTAAATAATTCTTTAAATAAACAATTTTATTGACTTTATTATACAATCAGGAATTGATTGAATATTTTGAAAACAATAAAATGCCAATTATAGGTGTTAAATCGGGAATGTTAATTTAAGGTTCTTTCTCCGTTCTTAAACGGAATTATTTATGTTATGTAATTCAGAGAGTCAATAAAGTTTGAGCAATTTGTCACTTATGTTTATATGAAATGATGTTGTTCAATTGTTAGATTATAAATATATTATTGATAAGTTCACAAGGAAGCACGAAAAGTTTCATTTCTAATAGCGTCAATAAATGGCCTCCAAATCAAGTTGCGCCTAGGCTTCACAAAGTCATGATGCGCTACTGTGTATTGATATATAAAACCACATTTGTAATCATTTTAAAAGGTACTCTGCATTTTTTTTTATTGTTTTCCTTTGGAAAATTATTTAGCTTATAAAATAAGTAAAGACAACCAAGAATAAGCAAGTTTATGAGTGTAGCCTTGAAATCTAATGTGCGAATATTGTGAGAAACCGAAGTTATGCATACTTCGATAGATATTTTTAACTATAATTTACCTGTAAATATTCCCAAAACTGCAGATATATAAAACTTTAGTATCAAAAACGCGATGCACGCAGCGATGCCGGCAATCGTGTAGATTATAGTTAGAATTAGCGCACCCACCCGCATTTTGAGCTGCGAATTGTTAAAGATTCAATTGAACACAGAATGCGGAATGAATTGGAATGAATGCAAGTTGGAGGCAGGTTCCAATTGACTCTGTATATGTTTACGTTTCCTGTCAAAATATGCAGAAGCATGCATCTGTTACCAATGGCTACGGTTCGTCTTTGACAGCGAGTCAGACATAACCTGAAAATAAGGTCCGATACGATCGTTCATTTGGCAGGAGCCGACGTACGCGTTTCTTGCTTTTGGACAAAGTTGTATTTCCAGCAGGAAGATGCCAGTGATCTACACGAACGAAAGTAATCCAGCTGGCCTGAAGCTGATAATCAGTGCGAAATTCGGTTCAGTTAATTATCAGGTGAAAATAATTGAATCAGCAGGTGAGAACTTTATAACCTATCATGTGTTTCCAATGCATATGCTTCAATAATATGAAACTTAAACTAACTTCTTTAATTATCTATCTACAATACCAATTTTAAGTATTGAAAGCTTATTTATACTTTATACCTATATTATAGAAGTTAGTAGTAAAATTGTTCAAAGTACATGATGCAATATTTCTAATCATTTCTTTTTAGATAAAACTGTTCCTGCTCCAAGAGTGTTACCATATGTTGAGACAGATCGGGAAACAGTAATCTTCTCAAGCAATGCTGGTGCTCAATACTTTTACCCCAATAAAGAAGTGGACTCTACAAACAGTGTGCAGCAATGGTTAGACTTTGAGGTTTATGAGTTGGCTCAGTCCTTGGCCCTTGTCATCGGAGGCTCTAGCAAAGTGCAAAAAATTAAAGATATTTTAAGTAGCAGTTTAAAGTTACTCAATGATAAATTGAAGGAAGGTGCACCTTTGAATGGGGTAAGTCTGATAATCTGATAAAATTTATTATAATTATTTTAATATTTAACATTTTCATAGAAAACCATTGAAGTTTGTGATATTGCTGTGTGGAGTGCTTTGTATCCTCTGCACAATGACAAGAAAATGTCTAAGGAGTACTTGGAACCTTACCCAGACATTTTAAATTGGATGACTCATTTCACTGAGAATACTTTTGTGAAGGTAGATACTGTTTAATTGCTTATATCATTCAATTATATTTTTATGTTTTATGAAACAGGAAGCGCTTGCTGAATTCAAAATCCTGGATGCGTTAACTTCTTATCAAGCTTTGTTGATTGGAGCTAAGTATACTGCGGTTAACATTAAGAGCTCCACCGAAGTTGCGACTGCTAATCCTGATGTTGTCTCACCTGAGGAGCTGAAATCGGCGGAGGAGGCGTTTAAGAAGACCTTAAATAACTTACCGAAACCAAAGAAGGAAGTTCATCCAATGTAAGTTTATCAAAAGTCATTAGAGTTGTCTCAATTGTAATTGTTAACTTTTTACAGATTGCCGGTAGCCGGTGAAAAAAATGTACTTATTACATCAGCGTTGCCTTATGTGAATAATGTACCGCATTTGGGCAATATCATTGGATGCGTTTTATCTTCCGACGTGTTTGCTAGGTAATAATTGTAATTATATGAGTTCCTTTTGGATGTTTATATGAGTTTATTACAGATTCTCTCGGTTATGCAATTGGAACACTTTGTTGATTGGTGGTACTGATGAGTACGGTACGGCCACAGAGACTAAAGCCTTGGAAGAAGGATTAACGCCTCAACAGATTTGCGACAAGTATTTCGAGATTCACAATAATATTTATAGGTGGTTCAATATTGGATTCGATTATTTCGGCCGCACCACAACACCTGAACAAACACGGTAATTAATATTATAATTATTTAATTACACGATTAATTATTTAAATATTTATTAATTAAATAAGATTTGAAGTGACAGATAAACAAGTAAATTTCTTTTAAGTTTACATTATTTTAACAATAGACTTTGCTTTAATTAGTATTAACAATTTTATGGTAAATGTTATTTCTGTTTACATAGTTTAGTTCAAGATATGTTCATTACCTTGAACAATAATGGATTCATGCAAACGCAGCCCGTTGAACAATTGCTCTGCGAGAAATGCAACCGGTATTTAGCAGACAGATTCGTTGAGGGCGGTTGTCCACATCCAGGATGTAACTACGAAGATGCCCGCGGTGATCAGTGCGATGGGTGCGGTAAACTAGTCAATTCCACGGAACTGAAGAATCCCAGATGCAAGGTTTGCCGCACGGCGCCGGTGAAGAGAACGTCCAAGCAATTCTTCTTGGATCTTCCAAAGGTCCGTATCTATATTTATAACGCTGGGTTAGGTAATTGTAAACACTGACTTTAGCTTGAACCGCTCTTGCACCACTGGATGGAGAAATCGTCGCAAGGCTGGACCAACAACGCTAAGGTTATAAGTAAATCTTGGATGAAGGAAGGTTTGAAGCCGCGTTGCATTACGCGAGATCTTAAGTGGGGAGTTCCAGTTCCGTTAGATGGTTACCGTGATAAGGTAAGGTATAACTAGTAATTAGTGATATCATTTATTTATTGTAATATTATAGGTATTTTACGTGTGGTTCGATGCTCCTTTGGGGTATGTATCGATGACTTCGAAATATACAAAAGATTGGGAGAAGTGGTGGAGACCTGCCAAGGAAACTGATATTACTTTGTTCCAATTCATGGCTAAAGATAACGTTCCGTTCCATTCTGTAATGTTTCCAGCTACTTTACTTGGTGCTAACAAAGGCTACACTTTGGTGTCTCATATTATGGCCACTGGTAAATTAATTGTTATTGATATAATTGAAATTAGACTTATATCTATATTGTTTTCTTCAGAGTACTTAAATTATGAAGATGGCAAATTCTCCAAATCCAGGGGTGTCGGTGTTTTCGGCACTGATGCTCAAGAAACTGGTATTCCAAGTGACGTTTGGCGTTTCTACTTACTCTACGTGAGACCGGAAGGACAAGATTCCAGCTTCAGTTGGGTCGATCTGGCGACTAAAAATAATTCGGAATTATTAAATAACTTGGGCAACTTCGTCAACAGGTCAGTGAATGAAAAATAATATCGAAATATTTGTATAATATTTAATGGAAACATATTTAGAGCTCTTGTTTTCACTGAGAAGTTCTTCGGGTCCACCGTTCCAGCAATGAATTTGACCGAAGAAGATTTAACTGTATTAGCTCTGTGCACTCGTGAATTGAAGTCGTATGTGGCTTCTCTGGAGAAGGCGAAATTAAGGGACGGTATTCGTTACATTCTGGCTATCTCCAAGCATGGTAATCAATACATGCAATCTACTCAACCTTGGGTATTACTTAAACGAACCGACGATGATAAGTATGATCTAACAAACTATAATAAATTGAAAAATAATAACGTTTGGTTTATGTAATTCCAGGCAAAGAGCTGGAACTGTCGTGGGTGTTTGCGTTAATATCGCCTGCCTCTTGGCTACTTTGATGTTACCTTACATGCCAGACAGCAGCAGAGCTCTTAAGGCTCAATTGAACGCTCCTCCGGAAACCAATATTTTGACACCTGAGTAAGTTTAAAGGCAAAACTTGATTTCAAAGTCTAATGCGGTTTATAATTTTAGTAACCCCGAAATTGTCATGTTCTTACCGGAAGGTCATAAAATTGGAAAACCAGCCCCATTGTTCAGCAAAATCGAACCCGCTCAAGTTGAAGAAATGAAGAAGAAATTTGGTGGACAGCAAAGCGACAAACCGTCTGCAGTAAGTGGAGATGTATCAGCGCTGGAAAAGGCAATTCAAGAACAGGTATATTTAATTCTCCCTTGTATTGAAAAAAAGCTTTTGTAGTCAAGTTGCTAAAAGTTTTTTAGATATTTAATATGAATATTGTAATTTAGGGTGATAAAGTGCGTGTACTCAAGAGCAGCGGTTCTCCAAAAACCACGTGGCAACCAGAGGTAGCTATCTTGTTGGATTTGAAGAAAAAGTTGGAAGCTGCGCAAAAGGCCGTTCCAGCATCCGCCCCAACCTCTGTCTCTGGAGATGTGGCTACGCTAGAGAAAGCCGTTCAAGAGCAGGTATTAAATAAATTAATTTAAAGTTAATAGCATCTAATGGGGTTTTTGATTAGGGTGAGAAAGTTCGTTCCTTGAAGAGCAGCGGTGTTCCGAAAGCGACGTGGCAACCTGAAGTTACTATCCTGTTGGATCTCAAGAAAAAACTGGAAGCTGCTCAAAAGGCTGCACCTGCGTCCGCTCCATCTTCTGGTTCTGATGATGTAGCTTCTCTCGAGAAAGCCGTTCAAGAACAGGTATTAAATCATTGAATTTAACGTTTAATATTACTTAATTAATGAAATTAATTTAGGGTGAGAAAGTGCGTTCTTTGAAAAGCAGCGGTGTTCCAAAAGCGACGTGGCAACCGGAAGTAACAATTTTATTGGACCTGAAGAAAAAACTGGAGGCTGCTCAAAAATCGACTGTAACAGCTTCACCAAGTACCAATGGTGTTGCTATTGCTGATGTTAACGAAATACAATGTGCAATTGATAAACAGGTAATTTAAGTTAAATTAAAATTGAAATAGTTGTTGATTTTCGTTTTGTTTGTTACAGGCCTTATTGGTAAGGCAGTTGAAGGAAGGCGGTGCAGCGAAAAGCGAATGGTCTCCGCAAGTAACCATTTTACTTGACTTGAAAGCTAAGTTAGCAGCGGCTACCGGACAGCCGTCGACTGGCGGTAAAAAGTCGAAGAAATGATTTTTTTAATTTATTTTATACCTTAAGAAATGAAAATAAATTAATTTAAATATCAATCTTTATTTATTACTGAATAATTGCATAAGTTGTTGCATCTGTTTCATAGAATACGGGCAATGTTTGTAATTCTTTTTACATAGTTTCTGGTCGTGGTAGTCGCCAAGCGCTAAAGCCTTCTTAATCTCCTTCAAAGCCCAATTCGTTCCTTGCGAGTACCTGAAAATCTCTGATTAAATATAGGTTCAACCATTTTACTGTTTACCAACTTTATTCTGTCCAGCATAGAATCATCAGCTCTTGTTGCCGCTAATTGACATACGTAACTTCTGGCGCAAGTGGATGGATCGTTGGTTATGACCAGTTCCCAATCAATATCACTCTATAATAAATTTATATTTTATGTCTGAATAAATATAACTCGATTTAAATGTTTACTGTTTGTTGATGTATATCTCGCTTTGTGAGTAATTTTGTTGCAATGTCGAACAGTTGTTTAGGACCGCTGGGTCTGTTATTCTGCATCCAATACAATCCGGCCAATCCCAGCAGCGTGAGAAGTATCAGTTTAATGTGATGAGCTTTTGTAACGCCCATAATTGCTAATAAAATAATGGCGCTTATCCACTTCATCTACAACAACAAATTACATTTCTTTAGAAATTATACATTCTTCAGTCAGATGTAAAACTTATATGTATAATCGAGAATTATATTGCATTTTGTGAAATTTGTGTACATTAATATTATAAAATTTGTATAGTTAAGAAAAGTAAGTACAAAAAATTCAACTACTATGAATGAAACATGAGTGTATATATAAAATTAAATGAAATTGAAAGGAGTGAAATTGTGAATTAATTTAAGTATTTGTATACTGTTCCTTATTTTCAAATAAGTACTAAAGAAAAGAGAGTTGTTATGTCTAGTTCGTTGTAAAGAAAGTGAAGTGATTGAAAGAAAAGTGTGTAGCTAAATACTAAAAAGTAACTATTGTATCAATTACTGTAAATAATAATACAAAATAACATCATATTAAATATATGTTTTATATTATTTACTTATATTAATGCAAAATAGTGAAAGTAAAAGTAAGATCAAAAAGTATAATTTAATTTAGATCTGGTTGTAAAAAAATTGTTCGAAAGGAAATCATCAAATATCTATAATAGTTTGAGAATTATATTCACGGTTACGTAGATTAGAAAAGTGTTTCTCAACCTATAAGTTGCGACTCAAAATTGGTTTGCGTTAATTTTTTAATGGATCACGAAATGATAGCTGTCATGACGTAAGCATGATTTGAATATTTTTATAGTACATATTTTGACATAACAAACAAATTTTCAGAATTTCAACTATTAAGATTATTTAACAATTAGAAGAGAAATAATCTATTTATTATATTATTTATTATATTAGAAGATAATAAAAACTAATCATTTAACAATGTATAAAGGTGAACTCACAAATATATGAATTAAACTTTATATTTAAGTATTATAAACAAATAATGCGTCTTCTTTTAAAGACCTTATGACAGCTTATGACAGATGCCGGTGGCAATCGTAAGCCCGACAACCGAAATACCGTCAATCAAATTCCCGACAACCATAATCCCGACTATATCAAAATCTCGATTGTATTGAAATCCCGACTTTATCAAAATCCCGACTATATCGAAAATGACTACAATAACATTTTTAAATTATTCCGGAGCGTAGTGACTTTTAAATTGTTATTAATAATAAATAATAACAATGAATAATCTAATTGTATTTGAGATTATTTCATTATGTTAAGTTTTATTATGAATAATTCAACAAAATCAAATAAATTAATAATAATTTATTGTTATTAATAATAAAAGTGTAGCACAAGGTGACTACGCTCAGAAATAATTTTAAAATGTTATTGTAAACATTTTCTATATAGTCGGGATTTTGATACAGTCGGGATTATGGATGTCAAGAATTTGATATAATCGGGATTTCGAACCTCGGGATTTCAATAGACGGTCTTTCGGTTGTCGGGCTTGCGATATAACCCGACAGATGCATATCTCTAAAATAAAGAAGTTTAACTTATCAAAGCGGTTTGTTTTTCTCAGTACTCATAAACGTACTGACTATTAAAGATCAAGTAGCCTGCCAACAACTTGATATTTCTTAGAATATATCTAATGATTCGAATTCCGTACGCTCACATATAAATTAAGTAATTTAAGTTATGAACTTTTTATTAAGATAGCTGTATAAGTATTTTTTCTCAATAAAAAAAAAGAATATGTTACAAAATATAAATCTGGACTTACCTCGACAGTGTATGATGCTTGTTTGATTTTGAATAGAATACTAATCTGCCGTATATCCACTTACGCACTTATAACATTTATCGGGTTTATACAAGGGAAAGTTAGGTTTGGGTGTGAGATGTAGAGAGATGGCGATTATTTTAAACCAGTTCAAAAATGTATTCGAAGCAAATACACATTTATTTTTTTTATTATTATTTGTTACTCGTCTTGTTTTTTTTTTTGCATAACCGATATTAAGTTTCTCTTGCATATATGTAAGCAACTAGTCTTTATTGCCAATGGAATATAAACGATAAACAACTGTTCATAATAGATTTTAGTGTGCGTGATATTTTTTTCGCGTGTTGTTCGTTTGTTAATTACAAACGAAATTAATTAATTATGAATGAGTACGAAAAAAAAGATAAAGTGAAAATGTTCTGAAAGTAAAGAATTACTGTCGCTGTGCAAACTCTCTACTCCGATGGATTTTCTTTTTAACACGGATATAACGATATTATGTATAGATTTTGTAACAGAACCTATCAAAATTGAGCTCCAAATAATTCAACTTTATTTATATTGTATTGCATCATACATTGCTTAACGAATATTATGCGTTCCACAAAATTTCTTTATTAAGCTAAACTTCCTTACAACAAAACTTTGTTATCAAAAGTAACGTTGAACAAGGTATGACTGTATTTGATATTACGTAATACATATGCTATGTAAATTAATAAAGTAAATAATATAATGTTTCATCTAGTTTCAAGAATCGTTCAACAATCTCGAAAAAATATATGTTTTGTTCGTCTGGTCATTCCACTACGCTAATTATTATACAAAATTGTTTACATTTTTGATTACACATATTATGACTGCAGTGTGAATTTATCTATATAGTATTGAAAGTAGACAAGTTAAATTATTACAATTTAATTTATCTCAATCAGTCTATATTAATTACATTAATAGATGTATTAAATTAACATATTTCATTACCAAGTTCATAAAATTGACAAATTTAACTATGATAATTAAAATTAAATTGAAATGTTTTGTAATGGTAAAATATTTGATTTTATTTTTAATATTTAAAACAATTTTATTTGCTGAGACTTTGTACCAGGATTCGCGCTATGATGCAATCATCATTCTCAAAATGAAAATGAGTCAATAACAAATATACAAATAGGAAATAGTATATCAATTTAGCTGATAAGGTTTTATCAAATTATCAAAGATATTCCCAACAAAATTGTATTCGATTTCTGAATACAATTTTGGTTATCGAACATATTGGCATATGATACAGCGAGTATGGTTTCAGTTATCGAACATCTTTAGTTATCGACATCTTTTAGAAACAAATTAATTTCGATAAATATACGTCGATTTGTCTGTCCTATGTTTTTATAGAACCCTTAAATATGCAGAAAAACCTTAATTATGTCGATGCAACATAGGCTAAATGTACCATAGAAGGTGAAAGCTTGCAGATATAAAGAAGAAGTATAAGTTTATTATTAAGTAACCAAGTAAATAATTTCTTTATAAAATTTATTCTAAAAGTATGTAGAAAATCTGAAAATGTAAACAAAAATTATATTTTTATAAAAATGATTTACGAACGAATATTAGTGAATAGAATATTTTCTTTGTATAATTTATTGTCAAATTATTTATAAAATGTATATATTTAAACTTTGATATTTAAATGATTCAAAAGTATGAATTTGTTATGTTTTAAAGTTGAAGAAAGATGAATCAATGAAAAAGAAAACATGTTTTGATGCTGATGTGCTCGGTTTTTGGTTTATAAGAATATTGATGCGCAACGTTTATGGATGAAGCTGTTAGTCATATTCCTGGTATTAACGAAAATTCCTTAAACCATCAATTCGCGTAGCTGAGAGGAGTGGGATGTGAAGTGAGTATAGATTTATATATTTATATAATGCTGTACATATATACTAGCCTATTATCACCAAATTAGATAAAAATGGAGAGGCTTCTTGTTATACTTTGTATGTTATTACTAGTTGTTCTTGAAGACTATCGTCTTAGTTAGTGTCCAAAACCTATGGTACAGTTTTAATTGAATTCTGTTTGAGTACATCTGCATTTAACCATGAGAATAAGTTTGTTTGGTTGCATATAACCATGGATGAGAGCACGTGGTGTATCCAAGGTATGAATAGTGGGAGGTTTGTTGTTGGTACGCCGGCTGTCATATGTGCCGCTGTCAAGTCAAATAAGAACAGTTTAGCGTAAGAAGCTGTGCTGCGTACATGTGAAATGGGTGTTTGCTGGCCCGCACAATAATACCATCCACAAGTGTTTAAGCCGCTAGAAGACAGCAATTGCTGATCGCACGAAGATGTCGACAGCTCTATTGGCGGTCATCGCTGTTATAATATGCGTACTATTCAGGATGCTGAACGTCCACAGCCAACCGCAATTGCCCTTCGTGTGTTGTGCAGACAGATCCTTGCTGGAAACCGTACAGAAGATCGCACCCTTGATCACAGAACCGTACGTCTATATTTCTCCATAACATCCCTGCAACATACATTTAAGTTAATCCTTATGTATTTAATCCACAAACACACTTAATTCTTAACCAAACTTAAGCAGCGATCATTCGCCGGCAATCCAAAGCTTCCGCAGAATGTTACAAGCATCAATAGAAAATTTTGATTCTTAAAATAAGATTTATGTATTTCAGGACTTGTATTATTAGAAATGGTTGAGCAATGTACGCAGCAGCATGAAATTCAAGAAGTTGCATTTATGTTGCAATATGTTTATTGTAACAATACCAATAGATATTTCACTTAACGTATATATCAATTTTTGAATGGTTTTACAAAACATTATTTACACCGTGATTCATACAATAATCTACACCAATTATCACTCACTTGTGTTATCAGAGTTTGTTTCGGAATTCGTGCATTTCGAATTAGCATGAACACTTTTATTATAGTGTTCAAAGGAAACGTTTGAGTAGTTAAACATTGCGACCTTGGATTTGAGCCATCTCGAAGAACCGTATATCTTTGGCATCTATTATTTCGGTCATGCGATGTTGAGAAGTGATTGCGTGTAGGTTGGATAAGGGACTTTGTTGCATGCCATGCCTCTAGTTTTTATGTGTATATTATCTAATAAGTAATTTATTAGGTAATAGCCGGTTGAATTTACTGAAATTTGGTACAGAAATATTCTATTATTTCGATCGTAGATTTTCGGCTATAATTAGGATTTTTCCGAACTTTCCCGACACATTTAATGAAATGACTGAATATATTTCTTTAAAAAAACCATACAAAACTAAAATTTATTATATCACTGTTACATAACTCGAGAAAATATTTCCAAACAGAGATTTTAAACTATTAGATATTAATAAGGATTAATTGTCTATTCGACATTGACGTTAAATTACTTTAACATGCGTTTGAGTAACTAACATCTAAATTACATAGGTTATAGGTAGTTTCTACTTTGATTTAATTACCGCAAGTTTTTGCAATTATCAATTATTAATAATTCAGCCTATTGATTAATTGTAATATGTTTTAATCGTAACATAATTTCATATTATATCGAAAATAAATTATGAATCATATCAATGAATAATATCATGGAGTTCAGTACAAATAGCCGGCGCGCGTTCCCATTAGCTTAGTGCTACTAGTTATTCTGAAAAGAGTTGAATCTGGAAGATTCGTATTCAGGTCAAACGTTTTAGGAATGTTTCAGACTGTTTACATAATTTTGCTATTGAAAAAATATATATGTGAAGTTAGATTGAAAAAAAAAAGTTGTTTTTCGATCAATATTTTACTTAGATTAGATTGTTATGACAACGCTATCAGAATTCGTAATATTTTCTGGGAACCAAATTTAATACAAAACCACAAGATTAAATATATTCTGCACTTACATATACACATTCGAGTAAAAATATTATAAAGCAGGGGTTCTAAACTCAATATAGGGACACTAAATGACCTTGTCAAAAAAATGTTATAACAGTAAAAATACAACCAACTGTGGATCGCGCTGCAAAAAGGTTGAGAAATGCTGAGAAAACAATTGGAGACATGTATTCTGTGAATAATTAATTATTGCTAAGATTGTCTATACCAGAGGTTCCCAAACTTTTTTTGTGTCGTAGACCCCATGCCATGTTTTTCTATTTTGGGTAGACCAGACCCCCTACTTACATGATATTGATTTTTTTGTAAATTTATTATTTATATTAGGACATCTTTATAATTATTAAGATCTTTGCTCTGAGAATGCGCGTATGCTTGTAACAAGATGATACTGGTATATAATTATATGCAGGTTTTTACAAGTTCAACATGCAATACATGACTTACAACTTACACAATTTTATAAACATACATAATATTTTTTTTTACATCATAAGTACTTTTATAAATAATGTATATGTCTTTATATTATAAAATAGTATAATGTAAGTAAACTATCAGTGTATGTTGAGATCTACTATCGTGGACCCCCATTTTCATTTCATGGACCCCCAATTTTTTTTTCGCTGACGTAGACCCCTTGCAGGTTGTCATAGACCCCTGGGGTTCGATATAGACCACTTTGGGAATCACTGGTCTATACCATTGATATTGAATGAATGGACAATAGAAGATATGTTGTAAGAATATGATTCGAGATTGCTTTCAATTGTGTTCATAATGAAACAATGATTTCTTTTTAAACAAATTCGTTTTTTTTTGCACTGAAAAATATTTTGAACACGTTATAAAACCGTGATTTTAATTGTTTAAATAAAGTAAACTATATAAGTATTTTGAACTTGATTGATTTGATTCCAATATTCGAACATAATACGTAAAGGGAAATATTATTATCTCTATTAATTACTTAGATAATAACCAAAATATTCAATAGATAAAACATCAATAGGTGGCATTTCATTAGTCACTCATTGTTTCATATAATTATACTCTTTAAACAAATACAGATTGATATGACTAATACAAGTTTTGATATTGCAAATGTGAATTACATAAAAAAAGAAGTCATCGTAGCATATCCAAAGTATTGTACTTAAAATTTGTATAGAATCTAAAAATATATTTGATAAATTTTAGCGTTTATTTAAATATGATTTCACAGTTAGTATTTGCATTTCAATTTACTTTGATTGATAAGAAAAAAAATTTAATATTCATAGAAATTATATCTATTTTACTAAGTTGTTTTGCACTACAAATTAGCGACTAATTGTGCAATGCTCGCGTTTCTTTTTAAAGACATAAATATACGTTACCTGTGTTATTAAATTGCATGAATCAGTACTAATTTGCAGTCCGTGTTTCGCAGAATCGGCGCATTTTCCTATGAAACGAGTTTGATACAAATTCTCAGTATTCAATGAACAATTCTCTGAATGATGCTTTCATTTTGGCAAAAACATGTAGTAGTTGGCTAACGAAAATTTGACGAACGAAATTTCAATGACATTGACATTTGTATGTTATAATAGATTTCCACTTATTTATATTTTTTTTCTCAATGTACTTGTCGTAGTTACGTAAGAGTAACGCGTTCTAAAGGTTTTAATCTAATCTTAAAAGCGTAGTGGGTTTCAATTCTTGTAAAACTGCTATCAAGTAGATTTATACAAAAAAAACATGTCTGGTAGTCAAGTATTTTGATAGCTTTATCTCTTTGAACCCTTTTATGTTTCCTCTTGTGATTTACCAACAGCTTTTCGGTTTTATCGATTAAAAGATTTGTATCATTTCTATATCAATTTAGACTTCTTGTGTTTAATTATTGTTAGTTTGGGTTCAATTCATTTAACCTAAGTAATACTACTTTTTATGAGTTTCCTATTATGATTTACCAAGCGAGGTCAATTCGGTTTTAAAAGATATTTGTATTATTTCTATATTCATTTCACTTTTTGTATTTAATTAATGTAAATTTTGGATCGATTAACGCAACAACTGTTTAAGAGGGAAATGTAATAAATACAGATTTGAATATTTAGTGAATTATCATCAATGAAATTATATCACTTTCTTTGAATGTAATATGTTATTATTATTGCATACGACAAAAGCTTTCTAAATGTGGTCGAAGAAAGTGGATCTTTGCAAAAGTAGAATATTAAATGAAGAATGTTTCTTTTCTCATTGACAATGATAATATATATTATGTTGTCTTCTTCGCACGTGTTTTCATTTACAAATCATTGAACAGCGCGAGCCGAACGTCTGTAATTACGAGCTGCCATGAATTAAGTATGTGTATATTAGTGAGACTCGTTACTTTAGCAAATTATCACATGTGTAATAGAGTGTTATTATATTTATTCTTCTACTTCATCACCCATCCAAGTACTTTCCTTGAAACAATCTACTTAACTGTCACACATTTTGAAACATCGATTACGACGCCATCGCTATAGGACAATTCAAATGCCATTCGTCTTATGAATATTAAATTGAAACCATCGATTTATGAACAGTTACATTAAAAGCAATTGCGAGCATTTCAAGTTCCTTCCTTTATTATTTATTAATGACTGTTTTCTTTCATACTCTATTCATTTTGAAAATATGGGCGTGAAATTAAAAAAAAGACGAAAATTACAGCTTAACATTTTATATAATTATGACGCGCCTTAATTTTGTGACCCAAAATAAAAAAAATGTATTATACATGGACCCAGTTTTTAGACCCCAATTTTTTTATACATGAGGAAATAATGTAAATTGCAATGTTTTCAATTGTTGTTTTATTATTTCAGACAGTTTATATCGATTACATAACTAATGAAATGTGTTAATCAAAATGTAAGGATTCTTCTTTAATCTTTCACACTCTTCTCATTTAGCCTGTGCTTTTTTTTCAAATGTTTCTCAACCTATGGGTCATGAAATGGTAACTGTCAACTTGTGTCAAGTCGAGGAATCAGTGAAGTACTTTTATGGTCGCAGTACGTGGTTGGGAAAGGCTGGGTTAAATCATTAGGTTTATACCATTTTTATTTACTAATAACTGCTGAAAGTACTTACACTAGCCGACAATCTAACTAAATATCGTTGTTTCTCAGTATGCTTCGATTGTTTCCAATGTGATGGTCTATTATTATTTTTTTTTATTGATTTATTGTTTGTGCCATGCATTTCTTTATACATTGCTTTGATAACCAGCAACCGTATAAATTGGCCATGAAATAAATGAGTATGTGATGAACAACGCAGTAACTTAATTGATTCCTGTTCCAGTATTAACTTTAGTGCCTTTTTATCAACACTTTCAATCATGGCACAAACATTTACATTACTATTTTAAATCATATTTAATTTACAAATATGTAATGTACACATAATTTATTTAATTATATCTGATTATTTAATAAATTAAACTAAACACGATAATTGTATAATAATTTGTTGAGAAATTGTACCATAATTACGGTCTTATTTAATCAAGAATTTTATATTTTTTACAGCAGTGACATTAAGTGAATTGAATTACGTGCATGTTGGTTTTGGCATGTTGGATGTATCATGATATCTTTTTGCACGGTTTTCATTTCGCGTGAATTAGTAGCAAAACGTACAAAAGCATATTCGCTTTGTTGCCACGTATTTACAAAACACATATTTCAGTAAAAACAAAAGTTACACATAATATTTATTATTTTCTCATAGAAGAGAAAATATTTTGTTAAAAAGAATGGAATTTAGTCTCTGTTTTTGTTATAACTGTTGGTAAACATAATTTTATAATTTGTACTAGTAACTGTATTTGTTACATGAAATCTTTTCGAACTAGTAGTAATCGATTGAACACTTATTAAGACTTATTTTTAAGTAAATTATATTCGTTCAAAGCTATATGTTCTATCTGACCACTGCAAATAAAAAAAACATCATTTAAGGGTACATTCATTATAAACATTTTTATTTTGTTTTTGTCCAATTTTTAAAAAATGAGGGAACAAAGTATCTTAAATTTGTCACGACCATTCGAGTACATCCGCACTACACCTTTGTTAACTTTCGAAGCAGTGAACAATCTCTACTCAAGGCATCCACTAAAAGTTTATATTTAATTAATGGCCATTCATTAAAATATAAACAGCTTAGAGGAAATTTAACGTTAGTGATGTGAAGAACAGCTTTTGTAATCTGCTGAAATATGATATTAATTATGTTATCTTGCATAATATTTTTCGTAAAGTATAATAATCTAGAAGCAGTAGATAGAAGTAACAATAACAATGCCAAGGTTACAATACAGATGTCTAGTTAAATAAATTCCTCCTGTAATTTGTTTACTCCTTTATGAGATACGTCCGAATACTAAGTATTTTTTCAGTATCATTAACGAAAACATTGTTGCATTTTACTATTTCCTGCAGTGCTCAGCATTTCATGTTGAATGGAGTGTTCAAATATGTATTCATCAGCTTAAGCCTCAGACCGTGAATTCTTGATCTCCTTTACAAGTTTCATTGCATGAACATCCACCGATTACATCATGTTAAATCTTTCGACAAAAGCCACTCATGCGAGACACGATCGACCCTTCTTCAGTTTCTGCGAAAATTCCCTCCTTTACATAAAACTGCTTAAGGGCAGAAATACCCTGACTCATGAAGTGGATAAGATCTCCGATAGAAAGGGGATGATTAACTTACATCGATTTTTTCTTCATTTGCACGTCAACTCGTGGAAAACTAAATCGACTCATTTTCTTAACTTCTAAACCATACTTTATTTTTAGTATGTTTATTTACTTAGCGCACATTCGTTTTTCCTAATGATAAATATTTTCACTCGACTGGAATACATAAACACAAAGTAGATTAATTTGAGCGTTGCATTGTATCACGCGCAATTCCTTAATGATACCATTATAATGTTGTCGTTTTCGGCATCCCATATCTATAGCGCGTGAGAGAAAGTATTTGCTCATCGGTGAATGACATGTTCAGTATTATTTTGACTAGCTTAATGAAATTTGGTAACCAAATGTAATTTCGAGGTCAAACTTTTATGCTTATTTTTTTTGTATTCGACCAAAAAAATATCTAGTACACAGATAGTTCACAGTAGTTTAAAAAAACAACTGTTTTTGTAATAATATTTAAAAAAAAACAGTATTTTTTATAATTGTTACTTCCAGGAAATGAAAAATCATTAATTTAGAAAAAAATGCGGATATAATTACACACTAGAAAGTTTTCATAATGTTATTATTTTTCCGTTGTATGGATTTTATAGAAGATGAAGGCATGTCTATTATTATTCATTTTTTTTTTCAATTTTATGTTTATAATGTAGTGTATATAGATTTAGATTACAAGAACTGTTTTATACGTAAATGTTATTTGGTTATTGGTAGAAAAATCGCTGTGATCAATATTTGTTTTAAAACTGACTCAGTTAATTTCCACATAATTTTTGATACGCCCTGTGTCGTTTGCTATATTTAGAATTATACGTCAGCACGTACTTTTTTTTAAAATTATAAACAGAATGCTTCAAAGGTTTACTTGTAAATTACGCAGAAAATTTATTGCAAAAATGATATCTGCGTCTGCTCCGATTACTTACATAATTAGATTATTATCTGAAGACTATTATTTTAGGTTGTGGTAGGCTTGTGCGTGCGTGCTTCAGAATCTAAAGGTTTCATATCATAAATAATAGTTATTTACTTCTATTTATAAGCTTATTTTTTTTATATATTGTACAATCTTGGTGTAATATTGTTTTCGAGTTAGGTTTATTAAAAAATCTTATAAATTACAATCTTTACAAATATTTTAATTAAAATACTGACAGTTTTTTTTGTATTAATAGGAGCAAAAGTGATAATTTATTTCAAACATTTATTAAAAAATGTATTAAAATGATGACCCCAATAAAATCATAGTTATTTATAAGGTCAAAGAATCTCGAAATAAGATTCATCAGTATATATCTACTTTTCTATTATTGAAATATTTAAAATATTTGATTATTTAACATGAATTATTTCTTTCCGACAACAAAAAATAATTTAAATGTATTAAAGAGTTGGTGCATACTTTCAAAAATTGTGATCGATTGTTGCGACGATAATTCACGAATGCCTGTCGGTAGAGAAAAGTAAAGAAAAAGAACTAGAAAGTATTCTTTAAAGCCGCATGTAACAAATTCATGTTTATGGTAGAATACATTGTATTAAGTTCGTATATAAGCATGGAAAAGATTACTTATCCTTCTCGCTATTATGCAGATTTGAGAGACCACCTTGGTCACGCGAAGAACTTTTCTGTCCGGATGTTTCGAGCCCATGCAATCCATTTGAATCCGAAGCTATTACATAATCTCGCATACTGGCAGAACAGAATGCGCTGGATAAATTAAAATAAATTGAAGGCCGTTCGCTGTGTGTCATAACCCAGTGATTTTTTTTTTTTATTATTAATGATTATTTTTGAATCATTGTTGTATTTTATTTTTAATTGTTGTTCTTTTTTGGTTTGTTTTATAGTTATATACCAACAAGACTATGGGGATTCAGCGGCCATATCCAAACAATCCTTCACAGCATCGTTGGCAGGGTTCGCTGCCCTTGGCCAATTGGCGAAAGAGTCTATTTGACGCTGAACGATGAAAGTACTGTGACGTACGATCTGTACCAGCCGTTGGGAGCCATAGCGGAAGGTACGTAATCAAGTCAAATAGTTTGTTGTTTCGTTTCAACGAGAGCAGCAACTGAAGTGGACTCTGATCACTCGAATAATAGTTATTAAGCCTAATTTCAATTGAATTGCAATTGATGTAAAGCAACATTTTGATATGAAATTGATGCATGCGTATTTTTAAACAGATGATATCACTGTGGCCATAGTCCCTGGCATTGGAAACACCTCCGAGAGCGTGTACATTCGAACATTTGTTCACTGGGCTCAATGTCATGGGTATAGGTGTGCTGTTCTGAACCACGTCGGCGCTCTGCGAAGCGTTCCCGTTACAGCGCCTCGGATTTTCTCATATGGTAAATTTGGTGATATGCAGCGACGTATTTGGAGCTTCAATTTATATATTTTTTTTTGCATCATATTTCTCTTTTTCTAGGACACACGAATGATTTCCACGAAATGCTCACGAATCTTCTTACGAAACATCCGAATACGCATCTGATCTGTGTCGGATTCAGCTTAGGGGGGAATTTAGTTACCAAGTACATGGGGGAAAAGGATAGGGAGAGATCATCGCAAATCATTGGTGCCATATCCGTTTGTCAAGGCTACAACGCTATCAAGTATATCCTTTTAGTAAATATTAAAAAAATAGTTGCCCTAGCGGTTAAATCAATTTATTTTAAACGTTCTTAATTGTAATGCTGCTGTTGTTCTTTTAACCTTGTTTGTTTTGTTGCAGGGGTACACAATTTTTGCTCAACTGGCAAAATTTCCGCCGATTCTATTTATACATAATGACGGAGAACATGAAGGGGATAATCCTTCGGCACCGAAACATTCTTTTGGCTGACGACGTGAAGAATCGTCATCATCTGGTGGAAAGGGAGATAATGTCTGCAGCGACTCTCCCCGAACTGGACGATGCTTACACAAAGAAGATGCACAATTTCCGCACCATCACCGACCTCTATAAATGGAGCTCGAGCATCAATTACCTTGACAACATCAAATCTCCGATGTTCTTCATCAACGCCCGCGACGATCCGATCGTTCACGAAGAACTACTTGAACCTATTAAGAAATTTGCAGGTATTTAAATTAAATAACCTAACGATTTTTGATAATTACATGTTCTTCTTTTGTGCAGGATCTCATAAAAACGTGATGTATCTGGAAGTGGCACACGGCGGTCACCTGGGTTTCTACGAAGGTGGTTTGATCTACCCGAACCCCGTGACATGGTTAGACCGCGCTCTGGTTGCACTGATCGGTAGTCTGGTGTTTAAACATAACGAGTTGGCATTGAAGACTGCAGCGTAAGCGCTTTTGATATCTGTATAATGAAGAATAAGTTTCATTAAGTATATACAATATATATTTTTTTAAAAATCAAAATTAACACTAGGGCAGCCCCGTTTATTCATTTAAACTGTTCTGTTTATTTAACGTGATGTGATGTCCAAAGTAACAAATGAGATAGCTTTTTATAAATGTTTTTTAAATGAAACTATATATATATATATAGATAGATAAATAATGCAGGGTGTCTAAATATTATAGATGAGTGTGTATACTACATTAGCGCTTGTCTTGGATGTTGATGTTTGAAAATTTTGCAGTTTATGTATTATAGTATTACTACATTACTAGTGTATTTGATGCAGGCTAATTTGATAATTCCATTCGACGACCGTTGTTTTTGTACCACAAACAAATTATAATTATTTATGGACCAACAATAGTATTCTGGTTTCCTTCTATGTATTTATTTATTTAATTTCTATTCCAAGCGAATATTGTGATAATAGTTTTTAACAAGTGCGTTTTATTTCAGATTTTTAAAGAATACAATAAATATATGAGCATTTATATAAATATATATATATTTTTTGTAATATATTGTTAAATTATATTATTCATATTGTGTTGAAATAAATTTGTTTTTTTTTGCTTCAAACTTTGATAGCTTTTAATTCGACCCCATGAAACTAGTCTTAACTCTATTTTCGTATCGCTGTATTTAAATTATAACAATTATAATTGCAGACGATTAAAAACATACTTAACACAAATTTGTTCATTTAAAAAAGTATACTTAATTAAAAATGTACAGGAGATATAAGAAACTTCATCTAAACTTTAGGTTGTAATCTCTCTACCCGAAGTAGTTCTTAATCTAATTAAGTTATATTATATAGACACGTTATAAGAGAATTCTGTTATATGAGGACTATATTGTTATTCCGCGTTATATGGAAACCGTTTTATGAGAGTACCGTGTTATAGGAGGGTTACTGAATATTAATTTTGCAGTAAACTTATAGTCAAAACTAAAATATGATTTATAGACCATAAACCATGTTCATAATACTTATAGTTATTTTTATTAAAAAATATATAGTAAGATTTTGCTTAGTGCTTCTTCGATTAATGCTGTTTCGTTATAATGCGATCTACTCGAAGCCAAAATAAAGCATTAAATTTACCTATATACTATATGTTAAAATGACCTATTTACTACATCGTATAGGATTGCATTTTAAGCATTAATGCTTTAAAGTAATTCAATACAAAAAAAAACTAATATTATCCATTTTTATTGATATTAATTGATTGAAGAATTGCGTAATATTAACATGGATTCAAAATAATGTTATTCTGGATTAAAATAGAACTTGTGGATTCCCATACAGAAGAGTTTTTGTAACAAAACGTAACTGTGAAGAAGTTATACCTTGAATTTTTGTTGATATTGATAGAAGTTGATGGAAGAATGGCGGGAAAGCGTAATATTAACGTGGATCAAAAATAATGTTATTCTCGATTAATATAGAACTTGTGAATTCCCATATAGAACAGTTTTTGTAACAAAACATAACTGTGAAGAAGTTATACCATGATTTTTTTATTGATATTAATAGAAGTTGATTGAAGAATCTCGGTACAGCGTAAAATTGACGTGGATTCAAAATAATGTTATTTTTTTATTAATATAGAACTTGTGGATTTCCATATAGAAGAGTTTTTGTAAGAAAACATAACAGTGATGAAGTTATACCTTGAAATTTTTATTGATAATGATAGAAGTTGATTGTAGAATTGCGGGAAAGCGTAATATTAACGTGGATCAAAAATAATGTTATTCTCGATTAATATATAACTGATGGATTCCCATATAGAAGAGTTTTTGTAAAAAAAAACAATACTGTGACAAAGTTATACCTTAAATTTTTTATTGCTATTGATAGAAGTTAATTAATGAATCTCGGTAAAGCGTAATATTAACGTGGATTCAAAATAATGTTATTTTGGATTAATATAGAACTGGTGGATTCTCATATAGTAGAGTTTTTGTAAGAAAACATAACAGTAAAGAAGCTATACCTTAAAATTGTTGCGGCAATAAATCAGTCATAAAGAAAAAATAACTTTTAGCAATATCCTACTATAACATAATTGAATCTATGGCCAGTAGACGTTTGCTATATATTTTTTGTAAATTATATATTTTATATGGGTCATATCACAAGCCCGACAACCGAAAGACCGTCTATTGAAATCACGACTGTATCGAAATCCCGACTATATCAAAATCTTGACAACCATAATCCCGACTGTATCAGAATCTCGACAACCATAATCCCGACTATATCAAAATCTCGACTATATCTAAAATTTCTACAATAACATTTTTAAATTATTTCGGATTTGATACAGTCGCGTATTTCGATACAGTCGGCATTTTAAAAGTCGGGAATTTGATTGACGGTATTTCGGTTGTCGGGCTTGCGATTGCCACCGATTTTATATTAATATTATATTTTAACAAATAATCAATTAAGCACTTGATAAATAATTATTCCAGTGTATTAATTGTTCATAATTTATTATTATTATAAATTAATTAAAATTACTCATTAAAATTATTAATTAAAAATTAATTTGAAACCTTAATGTTTTTTTATTCAAATAATCGAGGTTGTTTCAAGCGTATGAATGTATAATTAATTAATTTATTGCTATCCCAATGAATCCTACTATGATGCATTTTATATAATTACGAATTGAACATTAGTTATGTAACAAATTGTTAATTGCAAAATGTATTGTGTATAGGCAACCAAATATACATCATTTTGAAATTAGGTTTAAAATGTTTTTAGTGATGTGAATATTAAGATTGAATGTAACTTTTATTATAACTAAATGTGATGATAAATCAAAGAGAAAACTTGTTATTTTATAGTTTGTTGACATTGAAATACACGTGAATGAAGAACAAGGGAGTTTAGTTTACGGAATTGCAACCAGGGGAATATCAGATATAGAATTGTGCAGAGAAATGTCACTATTCATTTGGTTAATGTTTGTTTGCACGTAAATTGTGCACTTGTTACTCTCGTTTATTCATCGTGTTATTATTTCACAAAAAATAAGTTAACGCGGGCAGCATGGAAATGGCAGCTACACCCAGAGCAGAGGGACCTCCAGAGGATACAATCAGGACAATTGGATGTGCTCATTATAAAAGAAAATCAAAATTCGTGGTAAGTACTCGTGATTATTCGAAGATCTGCACACTCAGACTCATCAATCAGTTAATAGGAATTATACTTAAATCCGAGTTAGCTACTTAGGGATTCGTCGTAAATAGATCAAGGTTGTCCATCCAAGTTTTGCAATGTTGAGGAATTTCGTGCAGACAGATGGAGAGATTGGGAAACATTCTCTTAGAATCACCCACCAATTTTCAACATACCTTGAACACACACTGCTTACATCATATTTGTTCAATACTAAATATTGCAATTTCTTATTAAAATTCTCTGTGTAGGAGTCGTATGATTTGATCAAAACATGCACTTTCAAGAAAGTATATATAAAAATATCATGTTTTTCATGTATAAGTTTTGACAGTAACAATACATTATTATCAAGTATGAATTGTTGGTAATTTAGTGTGATTATAATCCCCAATTAAATATGGGATTTTCCAAACTTTTTTCTAGTTATTTGGAATATTCTTCAGGAAATGAATTGGCCAAGGCAAAAATTGTTGACTCACATTTGGATATTAAAAATAGTCTCTTTGTGTGTGCGTTTAGCGTTTTTTTTTAGCGAGTTTTATAAATAGATTATTCACCCTTAATCCGTAGCTATTTATATGCACCTTTCTTTGTGATCTACAATTTTCTAACTACATTTTATATTAATTTTTCAGACTCCCTGCTGTAACAAAGTCTACACATGTCGTTTTTGCCATGACGATGTGGAGGATCATACAGTGAACAGAAAAGAAGTTACCGAATTAATATGCACCCTTTGTGAAACGAGGCAACCAGTACAAGCGGAATGCCAGAAATGCGGAATTAGATTCGGAAAGGTAAGAATTTTCTTGTTAAAATTGCACAGATGTTAGTTTTTTTTTGTTATGAATTTTAAACTTTCTGCAGATTTGTTTATTGAAGTGCTTTGAATATATGAATATTTTATTTTACATTGAAATCGTTGGAGCAAATCCAAAGGTTGCGGAGCTTCAATTACTGAATGAAGTTAATTGATCGCTAAATTGATTCAAATCAAGTGTACCAAACACATGCAGTTTCTCTTCATTTTGTTTTTCATTATTATTTTAATCTATACCGGTTTTGGCCGAATCGAACCGAAACGTCGATGAGGATTTCATCCATCGGTGTCCTTAATTTTTATTTCGTTCTCGCAATAATTCAAGCACGATTTCCACTTTTGTTTCGCGCTTACCGCATTTTTTTATATAGGCCATGGGATGTTGTTACAAGCAACGGTGGCTTATGTCTCTCTTTCTCTCTCGCCTCTTGTTTACATTTTATATAATTACTTTCCTGTGAATTTATTGTACGCGATTTGATGCTGTTGTGTAACCAGCAACAAGAGGCGACTTTCTAATTCTATTAATTCGATGGCAAAAATGGAGAGAAATAAATTGGATCACTTTTCTCACCCGTTCGAAATTATGCACTTGCATGTCACCGCTTCAATGCCAGTCGAGTAAAGAGCGCATTCGACTCGCAGACACACCTTTCGCACGGGTGTTATGCAATCTTTTGTTTTGGCCGACGCCGTTTGCTGTTGCTGTTGCTTCTTTTTTTTCTTGCAAGATTCAGCAATGCGGTCGAACTTGGTTTTCAACTAACCAAATATAGTTTTCATTTAGGCCAATCAAAGAATATGAGTTTATTGTAAACTTGTCACTGAGTCACGGCCTTTTTTTTTTGGTACAATTTGCAGAAATTTCGTATTTTGTCCACGCTCTATGAACATGTTAAGCAATAGTCTAATCTTTTGTAATCAAATTAACTATTTACTAATGTACACTGATTACATAATTCTTCTGTCACCTTAAATTACATTATTACGGAAACCGGTTTCCTAAATATCGTTGCATTCACAATTGAAATATGAAATGTCGAAATTTATGCTTATTTGTTTTCAAATCATTATTATAAAAATAAATATATTTTGTTTCATACTTTTAGAAATTTAGTAAATTAACTCCATTTAATTTGTTTTTAGTTTTTGCTAAATATTTCACATTACTTGTTTTACTTGAAAACTAAATTTTTGCATATTATTACTTTATAATAAGAATAATAAATGATTTTCTTGACCATTTTCAGTCAGTCAGGATTTGGAAAAAATCCTAAATATAATAATAAATATAACAACAATAATTGAGTCAAATAATTCACTAAATGTATTATGAAGATATGAAATAAAAATCACAAAACATGTTTCAGTTTTAGTAAAATGATTGAGATTTTACTTTTTCCTAAATATTTTACATTTCTGTACAATTGAAATCTATAGAAAATAAATAATTAATTTTATAATTTTAATAATAATTATTAAGAATTTGAAATGAAAGTCACATAAAATTATCACTTTTTCAGTTTAATTTATTGAAATAATTTACAATATCCTATTAATTTGGCTTTTACAGTATAATCACATCTTTTACAAATAAATGATATAAACAAATTTAAAAGTAATCTTGAAAACTATATTCAAAATATAAGTAAGTTGTAGTAAGTTCAATTGAAATTGTGGTAGAAATAATGAGCAATCGGATGTATACAAAATGAAATTTGATCTGCGTATAAGATAAGCTGGTAAATTCACAATAATATCTAATTTTAACAGTTGGCAAACTTCTATATTGACCTACGCTATGTAGGCAATAAAAAACAATTTATACTTTTATTTCATTATTGAGCGAATTTCACACAAATTGAGTCTGAGAAAATTGTATTTTCACAAACGATTCTGCACTGTTTATAACAATAATTCGATGTGAATATTCAATTCAATTACAATTTTCTAGTTGGAAATCACAGTTACTAAAAGATCCTCACTCATTGATTTCATTCTTAAGTTTAGAAGAAAAAAAATTAGCTTTTATTAAAATATATTTCAGAAAATTACTTGATCAAAGCTAGAAATGTTCATTAGATTCTTAACTTTAGAAAAACATAAAATACAGGAATAATGTGGGTTTCGACAATATCCACGTTTGTAACAATGTTTTGAAATCTTCGATTATTAAATCCGCATAAAGAGACTTGTCTATAGATTTATGTAAAAACATATTTTGTGTACTATTTTTCTGAATCAATGTTGTTACAAGTAATATTATTGCAAGTCTCTGAAAATCTGTGGGTAAAATAAATGCAAAACTGGAACCAATAACAACTTTCAACCATATCGCCAAATATAACTGCACTGACGTCATAGAAATAGCATCATCGTTCTCACAGCAAGACTTCTTCGGAATAAGTAATCCTTATATTGCGATGCAGATGATTCAATGTATATTTATAAATATTTATGATTCTGTATTTTTATTTCACGGAATATACAATGTGCAAGGGAAAAGCATGCAAAACAGTGGTGGTGAAAGATCGACCAGTACAACAATATGTGCAACCTGCGGAATATAAACTGTATTTGTTAGGAGACAATAGAACATCTATCAAATATCAAACTAATATATATTAATAACAAGTTGTGAGGACTCTGATCTTTCTGCAAGTTGTTTTAGGAATGTTGCTAGACATGACGTACATATTTATTAATCGGGAATTCCTGTCTCATTTAGAAGTATAATTTATCAAAGAAAATCAAGTTTTTTTTTTTAAATAATGAATTTGTTAAAAACGTAAACATGTGATATTATGAATGCATTTCAAATTAGTTGATGTTTGAAATCTACTTTTATTAATTATTCATTAAAAAATATTATTTATGATATTGCGTTAAAAACGGTTTTAATTGCAAAATTAGAATAATTATATTAGATAATAATTATAAGAAGACCTTTTGCTTGTTGTTATACAACTTTTCTTTAAAATTTATAAGAATAATAGTTTTAAAATTGTTTTTTTTTCTACAAAATATATACTTTATATTAAAACTAATGTCTTTTTTCTCATTTTATGAAGGTATAAAAAAGAGATTCTGTTTTCGGAATAGTGTTACAGTTGTATGAAAAAAAAATACGCACTTGGTGTATTTGGTGTTTGGTCTACTTAACAAAAATGGTGAAATCGGAGCGATTCGTCAAGAGATAGATGTCGGGTAAACCAAACCAAATCAAATTGGATTTAGAAAACAAGAGAAACATCTTTTAGCTCTCGATTTTGCGTATGTTGTAAATAGAAAGCGGAAATGAAATTAAAGTTATATGCGTTTCCGTTCTGCATTTGCGAAACGTTCACTTTTTATATTACCTTGTCAATTATCAAACGTAGTTAAAGAAATTAAAAAGATGTTCATTAACGCGTTTACCTTTTTTAATGGTCGATTAATTTGTCATCTGCAGTTCATGTGCTAATTAGAAATACTTAGTATGTGTCCGCATTGAACATCTAGAACTTCTAAGAACAATTTGCTTTTTTTGTTCCAGTACACCTGTTTGGAATGCAATTTGTTTGACGATGTCGACAAGAATCAGTACCACTGCTCTGGGTGTGGAATCTGCAGAATCGGTGGATCGGACAGATTCTTCCACTGCGAAAGATGCAACATGTGCCTACCAATACAACTGCAGAATGGTCACAAGGTAAGCAATTAAATGGTTTTATTGAATTATAAATAATTACCATTAATGGTAACTGTAAATGATTTTTTTTTGTACTTTCTAGTGCGTTGAGAATGTTTCACGCGCAAATTGTCCCGTTTGTATAGAGGACATACACACTTCGCGTATTCCATGCCATATACCAGTTTGTGGACATTTACTTCACAGGACATGCTTCGAGCAGCTGCTGAAAGCTGGCCATTATGCCTGTCCGATTTGTCAAACGTCGTTGATGGACATGACTGACTTATGGACGTATTTGGACAATGAAGTCGCCCATACACCCATGCCCAGGGAATATGACCATTACATCGCCGAAATTCTATGCAAAGACTGCCATAAGGTACACATGCATATAAACTATTTCTGTCTATATCATTAACATTACTTATTTCGTAGGAGTGTACTATAAAATTCCACGTTGTTGGATTGAAATGCGCTCATTGTGGATCCTACAATACTTGCAGAGTTAAAGGACGCGCGAATCCAGTACCACCAGGTAATAAAATTTCTTGATTTTTGCTGCACTGTAAATTACTTCCGCGAATTACACTTTAAACGGCGACGTTTCATTTAATCTCATTAAATAATGCTTATTACATCTAATAACTAGTGTTCTTACATAATGCGATGTTTGCTAAAAAATGTGCTGTGTTTATCAAAAATTTAGTTTTGGTCACAGAAATAATTAAGTATTAATTAGATTGTATAAGAACTATCACTGCGCGCAATTAAGCACAGACAAGAAAACGTATTTGGTATGTAATAGTTTATGTCACCACATTGAAGAAAAGTTATATAAACCTGGGTTAATGGATTTTTCGACTAAATTAACAAATAAACTAATTTTACTTTTGTTACACGTTAATAAACGTTTAACGTCAAATTTAATATTATCTAGAAACTATGCATCTTATAATAGCTAATTAACATTTAGTATTGGTTACAAAAATAATCAAGTATTAATTAAATTTATCTGGGAACTATGAGTATGCAATTAAGCACAGATATTTAAACAATTAACGTCAGTACATTGAAGGAAAGTTAAATAATTCTGCAGTTGCATTAATTGATTTTTTGATTTAATTGATAATTATTAAACGTGTTATTTTTTAATGTTCATTAATGATATCAGTGAAAAACATAATTTAAAATGATATTTGGTTGTTTAAAATTCTTTACAAGAATTAATCTCAAGTGGATTGTAGGGTTTTCAAAAGATTTGGATTATCTCATATATGTTACAGAGGTTTACAGACAGTATAAAAGGAGGCTTAAGGTCGTCGTATATTGTTATGCTTTGTGGTGAACGGATGTTTTTGATTCGTGCGTTTTGATAATACTACGCAGTTTGCTCATTGGTTCTTGTTGCCAATACTCAACACAAAGACTTCCGGAATCGAATTCGGCCGAAATGAATGCTAAAATTGAATTACAAAAATCACTTTAGCATGAAACTTTTGATCGAGCTTCTCGTTCAATCTTTCTTACAAGACAATACTCTTTATTGAATTGAATAATAATGATAGTTAATAATAAGTTTACTCTGTACGTGAATCGAATTATTCACCAATTTCTACATAAGAAATAATGTAAATCGGATAATCCGTACATAAAAGGAAGTGAAATAACTTACGCTCTCTCGTAGTACATCTCACGTATCTGATCAATAGTTTTCATATTTAGGTACCGAAATTATGTTTTGAAATTGAATTATGTTTGTTCGGGAATTGGTTTGTTGAAGATTCCACTGAATTAAAATCTTTGCAGTTGTAATTTTATGTTGTGTTACATAACGCTTTTATTAATACATATAATACTGTGTTCCGCGATATGCGTTAGTTTATTTAGTTTGTATTGATATTAAGATTACTTTCTTGTTTGATCACAAATGTTTGACCAATTGTTCAGATACGAAACATTTGATCCTGTTTGCATTTGATAAGAGACATGTGAATAGCGCTTACGTACGTCAATTTTATAATTTGTTAATATTTAGTTTCATATATTGTTTACTAATACGTACTCTTAAATAATTAACATTTTTTATGTGTATAAATACTAATCTGAAACCAAATATATGCAAAAGATAATCTGCTTTTAATTAAGTAACATTAATTTAAGTTTAATTAATTGAGATTAATATTGAATAAAAATATTATATAATAATAATTGTGAATTGAGTTCATATAAACTTATAATTTCTACAAATCTGGAATTAAGGAATAGCTTTTATTATACAATAAATTATGTAGTAAAAATTTTGTTTGTTCTTATAAATATTCCTTATATTGAATTATATTATGCATTTACTAAACTAAGATTATAATTGTGTAAAATTGATTAATATTATATTTATATTTTCATGAATATCATTGAAATCATCTAATTTCATTGTAGTGTTTACTTAATCCAAATTAATAATGACAATTTGTTCTAGGTAACATTGAAAGGCCCAGACCATCCGGTAATTCCGAAGGCAACAGCAACGGGGAAAGCGACAGTAGTTCCCAATTACCGAGTAGTAACAACACATAAACTGCACATAACGCCAATATCTATTTATTCTATATGTATTATTGAACAAGTATTTGTGCGATGGCTTGTAAATACCATAGAATATTATATATATAGTTATATATAAATATCTTCATGCTGCTAGGATTGTTGTTTTCACTACATATATTGTTTTTATATAGTACAGACATATGTGCATCACGTTATGTGTTTCAAATTATACGTTTTAAAATTAATTACGAAGCATGCAAACAAACAAACAATCTTTTAAAATGTGAAGTTTTACGATTTCTGTTTTGTAGTTCATTATTTATTTGCAAATCATGAATTTATGGCGTTAAGAGATACATGATAATAGTGTAGTTTTTAATCTCTTGAATTTAGGAACAACAAATGTGATTTTTAAATATCTATAAGTGTATATTAGTATACATATATATAGTTTATAGTTAGGTAATTTACTTTTTTGAAATTGTAATGATTGGGCCACGATTTTGGAATTTATCTCTATTACTGGTAGGAAAAGAGATATTAGAAAGTGGAGTGTATACGCGAAAAAGCACAAATGTTGCCAAATTTTTTATCTGGCCTGGTACCTTAAGTACTCGAAGAAAATGTATTTTTTTAATTATATTACATATACAGCTAATTTTGTTATTATGGTTATAACTAATTTAGTTGTATGATATTAATGAAATATATTACATATTATATTGATTACGGACGTCGTTCATTTTAATACCTATTTAACATATCATGTTGGAAATATTCAGTTTTCGAGTACTTACATTAATTATACAACTAATGCATTTGCTCATATCAAAAATAATGCTCTAGGAAGTGTTGAATATTAATGCACTTATTAGATTATGTAAATAAATACAATTATCAAATGTACAAAGAGTTTGATCTCCCTTATTGTGCATCCTTTTATATTAAGTTCGATAATACGTATACGATTATTTACCTCTGACCCGAGTTAACGTACAATTTTTTGTACGAACGTACGGTATTTGTCGTTTGTTCAAGCTGTATATAGGAACAAAATAACGTCTGACTGAAAGAAAAAGGAGAAATGTATATCCATATGAGGTGAAGCGTCTGTGGTTAGTGTACGTTCGTATGAACATTGTACGTTGTAAATAATCTCTACCAAGTTGCTAAAGTTTTAAATATATTTATTTTGGATTCTTATATAAAGGGTGTCCCAAAATTAACGTTTAACACAGATATAAAAAGACTGAAGACTAAAAACTGTGTTTTCTATTTAATTCAAATCTTGCGTTAATTTTGGGACACCCTTTAACATTTGACTCTATGTATGCTGATTCCATACATAGAGTCATTTAAATTTACTTTTCTCCGGTTTGGTCAAACCGTGTTTGATCTTGTATTTTATAATGACTGTTCGGCATAACATACACGAGTTAACATTGGGAGCACAAGGTTCAAAACGAACGATATTTTTTGTCTTCCAATCTTTCATCAATTCTTCGTTTCTTTCTTAATGTGCACAATTTTATACCATTCTGGTTTATACAATTTGGATTACTATTTGTTTGCCTTAAACAAGTTGTTTATTCGGCAATGTTTATTTAAATCTAAACTAAAGTGAAAAATGGAAATGTTTTTGGTTTGGTTTGGTTTTAAACTAAATAGATTTTTTTGTTTTATTTGAAACCAAATAAAAAAAAGGAGTGCTATCAAACGTTGATAGCATTAGGTATTTTTCTCGTCTCGGATTTATAGTTTGCAATAAAGCGAGTCGGAATCTTGAAGCGAGTAAAACACACATCGTTTCGCGATTAATTGTTAAGCGCAGTCTTAATCCGATGTAGAGCGGATATTAAACTTAATAGTCTTTCGTGCTTTAGCCACAGTTCTGTTTTTGTCCTCGTAACTAGTTTATCGTTTTATTTAGAACATAAAATGTTTAATTCTTAATCGATACGTCTGTAAATTTGTTAATTGTTAAACAAATAAATAATAACAAATACAGCAATATATAAACAGTCAGAACTATTAACAAATCCATTCTACAACACTTCGTTAATCGAAACTTCGTTTTATTATATTAAATAAACAGTCAACTTACATACAAAGAGAAAATACCTTTTAAAATATGTGACTTGATTGTGATTTATTTCTCTTTTGTTTAACAATTGCGCCTATACGGAGTAATTGCATTTAACACTGATCAATTATTTTTCAAAGAAGTTCAAAGTATAAGTGCTTAAATCTGACACGGAAATGGAAACTATTTATATAGGTTCAAGGCCAGGGCCCTCACACTTGTGGGCCCTTCCTCATTGCAGACCCTTAGTTACGTCATTTCTTCTTTATTTTTTAGTTAAGTTATTGAAATTGCAGACTTCGATCTAACGAAGCTTTGTTATCAGAGGTAACAATAATCGAAGGATGATTGCTCGTTTGATGCAAGAATCGTTTTGTTAATTAAAAAAAAAATGTATATTAAACATGTAATTAAGAATGTGGATGCGCCTGGTAAATGTATCCATTCGGTGGCAATCCCAAGCCCGATAACCGTAATCCCGTCTATCGAAATCCCAACGTTCGAAATCCCGACGTTCGAAATCTCGACTATATCGAATTCCCGACTACCATAATCCCGACAATCAAAATCCCGACAGTGTCGTATAAATTTCTACAATAAATTTTTTATGGTAGTCGGGATTTCGATATAGTCGGAATTTTGATTGACGGGATTTTGACGTAGTCGGGATTTCAAGCGTCGGGACTTTAATACAGTCGGGATTTCGATCGTCAGGATTTCAATAGACGGTCTTTCGGTTGTCGGGTTTGCGATATAGAGCCGTATCCATTAAGTTAATAGAAATTTTGACTGTTAAATTACTTAATGGTTTATTTTAAAGTAAAATTAAGTTTTATGAGGTTCGAATTCAGTCTTAAAAATCAAAAGCTTAAATATTTATAATTTAAAATAAACATATGTAAAATACTATTGAAGATATAAATTATTTAAAATTCCAACATTGTTTCATTTAATATGAATTAAATGTAATCAGTCAATTGCATTATTAATATAACGTAAATCGTGATGACTTCTCCCACCTAAAACATAAATAAACCTTATAGTATAAATTTAATTGATTAAGCAAATGTATACATTCAAAATAAAACTTCCATCCAGATCAAAAGCTCCAAGTATTTGAAACTGAAGTCGTTGCTGTATATTCTGCAACGACAATGATAAAATCTAAAACAAAATATTTATAAAATCAAAAATTATTAATTATTAAGATAATTACCAAAGAAGCGTTATTCGTTGATGATATCTGCAATTTTACCAATTTTCTGGAAATTTTCTCAACGATTAATTGCAAATAAATATTAGCATAGACAATGCTCAAAAAAGTTATTACACATATTATAAGATTAATGTAAACTATACTAATATAATCGTTTTTATGCGTCAAATGCAAAATAATTAATATGATGGTACAAAATATTTTCAGAATTTGATACAATAAATTGATGAATATTCCTTTCTCAAAATGCGCAATAATTGTGTGAGTTGTCTCGTACAAGAAATTATATTTAGTACGAAAATAATACAATCCATCAATGTCTGGTCTTTCTAGAATTTGGGATAAGCACAAAAAATGTTGTCTTAATATATACAAGTAAATAAACCATTTGATTATGAGAATGTTTGATAGAAATCTTGGTAATATGAAAAATGCGTTCCTTATATTGAAAGTTACGAAAACGTCTAAGGAATCTAAAAAAGTTAAAACTACGCAACTTACGACAATGTAATTAGTGATGTTTCTAATGCTTTTGTAATTAGCGTTTTCTAGAACATCAATAGTAGTTAATACCTTCAAGTCGTGTAGTAATTTATTCTCCATTAAATAATTTAGTGCGTAATATATTAAGGGTAACAACATTTCGTACCAAATGAAGATATTGTAGATGATTACAACTATATTATCGTAGTTTTTGAAACTGGGAATCGATAGGTAAATTGCTGTTGCACTGATGATCAATTTCATTATAAGGTATATCAAATTAACAGCTCTTTTCCAATAGATATTGCTGCATTTACAAATGGGTTTTAATAGTATCGCCTTTTCCATGAGGACGAGGGAGACTAATGCCTCGTCCATCGTTTTGTTTTCTATGGACATGTAATGTCCACAGTTTTTCAATTGCACTTAAAGATAATAATCAACCTCGTTTTTACTAGTTTATTACTTAAGGTATCAATTTTTTTATGTAATTAATCAATTTGTTCACTAGTCTGCGATGGGTTTGAATTAATGTTCGGAGAGAAAACGTGTGGAATGTGCTTGTGGATTTCGATTCGATGCAGGAAATTGAATTAGTAAGTAGTATAGAAATTGAAATTGAATTAATAACGGGATTACGTGTATTTGTTTAACGAATTGCTGCATTAATATATCATTTGTTGTGTTTTTTTTTAATAAATAATTTTGTTTATAAATTTTTTAGAATTTATTTATGGTTTGCTTAATTAAAATTTATTGATCGAAGCCGCATTCTTATTTATTTGTCTATGGTAATCAACAATTTTCTAACTATTTTCGCAGTTAATTTTCATTTTTTTGTAGATATTGAAAATTTATTATTGAATTCATGAATGCTACATGCCTGATGGTATACTAAATCAACGTATATAATGTGTACACAAATTGAGGTACGTTAAGCGAATGTACGTTAATAGAATGTGGAAATCCTATATAAATACATTATTTACGATTTTAAGATGCATTATCCGCATAAATGAATTAAAAATAGTTAATAGGTAATCCGGCTTCGTATATAAACAGATATTTCAATTTTATTTAGTTAAACCTTGTTTCTATTTTATATTTTTTTTTATGTCGTATAAATTTTATTCACAATCTGTTCATCAATGTGAACATTGAGTAAATTTAAGATCACGGTTGACATTAAATGGATAATATTTCCCGGTGGATAGTTATTTGTTTTAATTTGTTGGTTGGTTAGGGTGGGGTGAGAGGCAGAGGGGCGCGACCAAAGCGGATGCTAGAGCCAGACTGCTGAAAAAATGGCAAGATAAATGGCACAGCTCGGAGAAAGAAGCTTGGACTCGACGCCTAATCCCACAAATAGAGCATTGGATATGTAGAAAGCACGGCGAAACAACATTTCACCTGAGCCAGGCGATGTCTGGTCATGGATGCTTTTGCAAGTACCTGCACTTTATTGAAAAGAAGGAAGACGAAAGTGTTGGTACTGTGAGGAGGGCGATAGGCCCGAGCACACGCTTTTTCGGTGCTGCAGATGGCTTAGAAAGAAGCAAGAGACTGAGGCAGAATTGAGACTGCTGGAACCGAAAAATGTTGCTAGTGAAATGCTGAAGAGTACGGGCAGCTGGGATATTGTAGAGACGTACATATCAGAGGTGCTACTAAGTAAAGAAGAAGACGAGCGAAGGCTGCAGAGGGCCTACGAGGACAGTGGTAGTGGATGCCAGCATTAACAAGATCTAAGCGAAGTGCTAAACAAGCAAAGACAATCAGCATCGCAGAGTAGTATAGTGATACAGGTCCTGTATGCTGACGAAGAAGTGGAGAGATTTTAGTAAGGTAAGAATTCCACAGCACTACAATTCCATCCGTGCTCCCTATGTAAGGT